TGCATAGTCCATATCGTATAGTTTGGCATGACCCCTGGTAATCAAGTGCGATCGTATAGACTCAATTTGATGAAAGTTCCTTTGATTCTTGCAATCTTTGCATGGACATGGACAGAAGACAGGGTTCCCATTTTTAGCATGGGCTTTGGCATCGATGATAAACTAGCTGACGCTATGCATGCACCGCTTCTCCGTTCGGGACAAATGCATCCGCTTGTCTGTGCGGGAGGGAGGTGTGACTCGAGTGGCGAAGCCTGGCGCTGTGGAGGCGGGAGAGGGCCCAGGGAGGAGGAAGCGGAGGTAGTTGCCGCTGGCGGCCGCGTGAGGGGAGCGGAGCTTCTGGCGAGCGCACGGGGCGGAGTGGAGACATTTTCTTGGGGACGTGGCGTGCATCCATCCGGACGGACCGCACCGCAGTATTACCGATAAAAAAAGGAGACAGAATTAAAAAAAATGGGCATATACAAGCAAACAATCTCGTTTTTCATACATGATCTGACACAGAAACTAGTATTAGTAGTTGACATAATTTGAATTAGGACACACTAAACAAAGCAAGCACCAATAAATAAATCACACTCAATACAATCTGCTATGCTATGAATCCATCATGATCTTGAATTCCTCAAAGCTGAGCACCCCATCGCCATCGAGATCAAACCTGCAGATCATGGCCCTGCACTCATCAACGTCCTGGTGCGAGCCGAGACTGCCGAGCATCCGCTTCAGGCTCACCGGCGTGATGCACCCTTCGCTTTCGATGGCGTACATCCTGAACGCCTCCCTGAGCACCCGCCGGCGATCGCCGCCCTCCTCCTTCGGCGCCGCCGTCCCTGCCAGCGCTAGCCCCAGGAGCTCCTCCTGGCTCAGCAGCCCGTCGCCGTCAGCGTCCGGCGACACCACCAGGCGGTCCGCCTCCTCGGCCGACACGTCCTCGCCCAGCGCCTCCTTCATGCAGAGGCGCAGCTCGGCCGCCGACAGCTTGCCGTCGCCGCCGCGGTCCAGCGCCGAGAACACCCGGCTGAACTCGGATGATGCGTACACCGCCATTGATCTTCTTCAACCTTGGCAAATGTTCAGCGATTGGTTTTAGTTTCCTTTTCAGGCAGCTGTGCGAATGACTACCGGGAACTTTGCCTTTGCTGATCCGGTCTGTCTGCAGCTGCAACGGCACGATCAGACGCTCGGTTCTTGCAGCTATATATAGCTGTATGATGTATGAGCAGCAATCATGCATGCGTGTGTGCCAATGGTAAGTTGGTGGTGATACATCAAGGCATAAATAAATGCCTGATGGAGAGGAACGGGTCACTGCCATGAAAAATTCTTAGGCGTAGCAGTAGCACCATGGGTCGGGTCTTTCTTTGCAATAGACAATTGCTGGTGATTTTCATATATCTGCAGAGAGTCTGACGTCTTTAGAATGGTGCATATATACTTACTATAAATAACCTGTTCAGCAGTTGCCCTCAAATGAAATAATTGTTCGGCACGCCCATGATGGGTGCGACACGGGAGACGAAGAGTCAACAGGCCTGTGAAGGAAAGCAGCAAGAGGAAAGACAAAGGGGAAAGGAGTAGTCTGAGAGTGTGGATCCATGGTGTTAGCAACAGCACAAGCAAAGGGGAAGGGAATAGAATCAGAGAATAGAGCAGTAATGCAGCAGGGAGTCCTAGCGATGCATCTAGAGAAGTAGCAAGGGAATTGAAGGAGTCTGGAGGGAGAAGATGAACTGGAGAGGAATAACTAGGACAAGATTATGAGTTTGTTTTTTCTTTGACAAATAGTATGAGTTTGTTACAATATTCTCATGCCTATCCTCTGTAGCCAAAGGTAGATATATCATTCCATACATGGGCCAAGCCCAACCAGTCAAAGGCACAAATGCCCGAGTCTGAAACCCATTAGCTAATACTAATAGTCGACCATGCCCATAACATTTTTCTCTCGCTTAAGCAACAGCTTGCTCCAAGGCTATTCTGCAGCTGGCCACATAATGACTTATTCTATGGCCACCTTGATTTACGATAATATTTGTACCAATTTACGATAATGACAATACACATTTACGATACATGGGTTACTATAATTCAAGATGATACTTACCATAATACTATAGTAAATCACTTATGAGGGGGTTACCATAATCTCGTAAATTAGTATAGTAATTATCGTAACTCAAAGTGGTCACAGAATAACTTACTCTGCGGCCAGCTATACCACATATATATATATATATATATATATATATATATATATATATAGTCATCATCCTCCGGAAGCATTACTTGACATAATCAGTATCATTATGATTGTATTCGTCACGGGTCCTCGATCATGAGATGATAGAATTGAACTATGCTTGGTAGCTAGCAACCGTGTGAGCCCTTTCCTGTCTTATAGATGACTCCATGCCTTCCTGAACTTGGACATGTAGATGCTTTGAATTTGATAATAGACACCCTTGGCAGCACAAATGATGTTGCAGAGAACGCACTAGCATAAATATCAGCCACGCTGACCACTGGTAAGAAATATTCTCATTGCTGCTACTATTGCATTTCGTAAGTGATAGCATATCAATCGGGCAATATTTCTTTATTGCAAGTGCTAGCAACATAACCTTCACTAATGCCACCATATAACAGCCCACACTGAATTAGCAATTCTCTAAAGATTGAGAGACCAAGATAGGGTTGTGGGAGACTACTAGCACAACCAGAATTTTAGACTTCTCCTAGTGAGGTAGGTTTCTCCTAGTGTTTTAGCATTTAAAATTTACTATAAATTTTTCCTACTAAATACCTCCTAGTGAAATTCCCACGTACTATGACTAGCGGTAGTGTATTATTACTACTTAAAAACAATAGGAGAAGTCCACCATTTTGGTAGTATAGAGAATGCTAATTCATTAATATTGTCGATGCGGGACCCACGGGGTACCCCGCAAGGAAGAGAGGAGATCTAGTTTGCTTAGGATTCCTCTCATGTAATCCTAGTAGTAATATTACCCTTTAATCCTATTAGAACTCTACATTGTAAATCGACTAGGATGCTGGTCTCCTGACTATACAAAGGAGGGCAGGGCTCCTTAGATCGGGGGAGCAGAAGAGAGTTAGGAGACTTGACAATCAATCAACGCAAGGGCTAACGCCGACTAGACGTAGGGCTATTACTCGATCACAGTCGAGGGCCCGAACCAGGATAAATCGACTGTCTCTTGCGTTTACCGTCGAGTTCCTGCATACGCCGAAGCCCGAACAAACTGCCTCGGGTACCCCCGTGGCAGGCTATCGGTGGTGAAACATCGACAAATATGTTCCTTAAAATTTATATTATTTTTTAAATATCTTAACTCTCTCAAATGAAAAAACCTCAAAACCAAAAACTAGTTGATCTCATCCATAGCTACAACTTTAATATAAAAATATAAAAACCCATTTGACACCATATATCTCTATACCTAAAAAGACTCTAACGTCATCATCTACCCGGTGATACCAAAGTCTCGATCCATGATCACACGCCCGTGTCAGATACGAATCATCCCTCACTCGGAGCTCACGTGTCCGCTTCCTATCTAGTTCCGATACGAAGACCGGATCCACATTTCCATGTTTGATACAAAATCCTTGGAGCTCACGTGTTCACATCCCATTATGGAGGTTCAGTCAAAAATCATGACCTCGGTGCAATGCACGGGCATGTATCTAGTACGAGAAAGATATAATGTTTGTGAGGCAACAAGCCTCGATACACGATTAATATACTGCTAAAACTTTATATTATTTTCTCGAGCATCTTAACCACCTCAAATATAAAAGCTCAAAACTATAAAGTTGAAGATCTTATTGAGAGCTACAACTCTGACATAAAAAGTATCTACATTGGCCATCATACAAGAAAGACATTATTTTTCTAATGCAACCAGCGCTAGTATACGATTATTATGCTGCTGAAATTTATATTATTTATTCGAGCATTTAAATGACCTCAAATGAAAAACTCAAAACAAGAAACTTGTTAGTCTCATCGAGATATACAATTTTCTTAAAAAAATCATCTTTATCCGACGTTGTATCGGAAAGATATGACTTTTCTAAGATTGAGTTTTGTCGTGTCATTTCTAACGGCGTGACAAAACAATGCTGTCATACAAATGAGAGTAGCATGACAAGGTTTTGCATGTGAAAACTGTTGTCCACCATGGCAGATCTTGCTGCACAACGCATGTGACGCGACAAAATGCACGTTGGCGCTACCAAAAGAGTTAAAATTGAAAATACAAAATAAGCGAGACTATTTTTAAAATAAAAGTTAAAAAAAAATAGTAACAATAAAAAAATCCTCGGCAGGTGACATGGCCAAATATCGTCCCACAAGAGATGCAGTACAGATCATATCTGCGCTGCGCCATGTGAAGGTGACGTTGCTCGGGCACCATTGGAGGCCATTAATTGCTGTATGGCCTTTTCCATCCCTCGTCTGAAAGCTTATATCTTTCACTGTCTGCGAACTCCGATCCGCTTCCCGGAGCGTCGTCTTCTTCCCGTCGTCACTCACTCCCCACCTTCAGCTTCGACAACACGCAGGCATGCACGCCGGAGCAGAGCGAGCTGAGTCGAGTTAGTGGCATTCATGTCAGCAAGGGCCCCTCATGTCGTACGTCTTAGGTGATAATCACTGTCATTAATTCACATAACCTAGTGGCGTGGGCAAACAAAAAGGTAACCCGGTGCTAATCACGTTACCCTACCACCGAATCCCATGGCTTTGTATGATTGTCCTCTTTCATAGCGAGGACCTTGTTCATATGCTTCTTTGCAAGGTGCAAACACTTTGATTTGATCCCCTTTACTTTACTTTCCTGATGCAACACTATGCATCTCAAATAATTCTCCAGCATCAGAGCTCACAGTGACACACACTGGAATCCGATATATTCTGTTCAGCCGCTACCTCAGTCGTCCTCACCAGCGACAAGCCAAGAAACCAAGCCATGGGCACCACGGAGCACCATGGCGCCGGCGATGCCATCGCCGAGCCGCTGCTCCCCTCGTCCACCGTGGAGGTGGAGCCAGCCCCGCCACGCCGGAACATGTTCGCCTTCGTCTGCGCCACGCTCGCCTACATGACCACCATCCTCATGGGCTACAGTACGTGTCCACTCGTCAGCAATGTTTAAAATAACGGGCTATTGAAAATAGCGGCAATTTTTTTCCAGAAGCTATGCAGCTATAGCGGCGCTATGCCAGGTGACGTTTTTATAAAAAAAAACATGAAAAACACCAGTTATGGATAAAAAACATGGCAAATATGAAATTCGATGAACACAAATATGTGTCTAAGGTTCCACAATTCTAAGTAACATTAACAAATACCAAATGACGTTACAACATGATTCATGAAAGTTTAACCGTCCAAAATACCAAATTAGTAGCAAATGATAACTAATAAGTAGAATATCATCGTAGCGTTTAGTGGCAAATAGCGGCGCTATAGCGGCAAATAGCGGCGAAAGTCGTTGTAGCGTTAAAAAGACCAATAGCTTAGCGGCAGGCTTCTCCCACCGCTATAGCACGGCTATAGTGCCGCTATGGCCCGCTATTTTTTTCCATGCTCGTCAGTCGTCACTGCTACTCTCGTCTCCTACGTGCTTCATCATCGTTCATGACACTGACATATATCCGGCGGCCCCATGCTTCTTCTCTTCCTTCCCACCTGCAGATCTCGCGCTGATGAGCGGCGCGGAGCTGTTCATGCGGGACCACCTGGGGCTGACCGATGAGCAGGTGGAGGTGCTGTCCGGGTCCATGAACATGTTCATGCTGGCCTCCATCCTGGCCGCCGGTTGGGCCGCGGACTCCATCGGCCGTCGTGGCACCGTCGTTCTCGCCAACGCCTTCCTCATGGCGGGCGCGCTCGCCATGTCGCTCGGCAGCAGCTTCGCCTCGCTGATGGCCGCGCGCTTCGTCACCAGCGTTGGTGTCAGGTTCGTAGTCGTCGTTGCGCCGGTCTACGCGGCGGAGATCGCCCCGGCGTCCTCGCGCAGGCTCCTCTCCTCCCTCGTTGACTTCTTCATCACCGCCGGGATCCTGCTCGCCGGCCTGCCGCTGCGCCTCGGCTGGCGCGCCATGTTCGCGCTGGGTGTCCCGCCACCGCTGCTCCTTGCGGCGGGGGTGCTCGCCATGCCGGAGTCGCCCCGGTGGCTCGCCATGCGCGGGCGCGACGACGACGCACGCGCCGTGCTGGAGCGCACCTCCGATGATCCGGCCGAGGCCCACGACCGGCTCGAAGAGATCAGGCATGCCGTCGGGGTGTGGAGGGAGCTGTTCGTGCGGCCGTTGCCGATAGTGCGGTGGATCCTCGCCAACGTCCTCGTGCTCTACTCCATCTAGCAGGCGTCCGGCATCGACGCCATCGTCCTCTACACCCCGCTGGTGTTCAAGAAGGCGGGGATTAGCACCGTCCTCGCCGCCACCGTCGCCATCGGACTGGTCAAGACGCTCTCCATCTTCGTGGCCCTGTTCCTATCCTACCGCCTTGGCTGCCGCCCGCTCCTCCTCGCCAGCGCCGCTGGCAATGCTGTCACGCTCACGTCGCTCGGGATCGCGCTGTGCTTCGGCACCGGCGCTGGCGAGACGACACCGACACCCGCGGTGGTAGCGGCGTGCGTCGCGTCGGTGCTTGCGTTGATCACCGCTGTCTGCTGCTCCCCTGTACGCACGGTAGGGGCAGGCGCCGAAAGGGCTCCACTGCTGCTATACTGTACTGGCGCAGGGGCAGGCGTCGAAAGGCTCCCCTGCCGCACTATAGCCATAGTAGGGGCAGGTGCCAAAGTCAGCCCTGCTGTCACATCTAGTCGTTGTAGCAGTATGGCATGTCTGCGTACTAGGATTAGATGGGTAGAGTTATATTTATAGCTTCCCACTGCAACTCAGTAAAGAGAGCAAGTTCAGTTTTGCCATCTCCTCTGCAGAGCTCCGGCCAACACTGACGCTTGTGCTGTGTATGTGCGGGCTCTGTTCTCTCTCCCTTCTTCTACCTCTAGCCATAGTGTGTGGTCAGCAACGACGGTGCAGGGTAGCCCACTCCTCCTCTGTCAGCAGCAGCTTGCCGTTGTCCATCGTTGCTGTGGCCTGCTCCATACGCTCATCCATCGCCCGCAGACATCCTATCACATCCTCAATGGTGAGGGTGGACAAGTCTAGCATCGTCTCTTTGGACAGAGCGATCTGGATGTACTTCACTGGCCCAGAGTGGAGGTACTTGGAGACTGCCTCTTCTTCGTCGATGATGACGCCGTGGCTCCTCAGCTTGCTGATGAGCGACTGCAGGTGGAGGGAGAAGTTCTCCACTTACTCACCATCCTTGAACTTGAGGGTGGCGTACTCCTTCTTCGGCAGCTGGGCCGTTGCCTTCTTTGCACGGTCGGAGCCGACGTGCATCGCCGCAATGGCCTCCCACGCCTCCTTCAGAGTTCTTCGCCCTAAATGGCTCCCTGTACTCCGCTTGCACAGCAGCGAGGATCGTGCCAGAGATCTCGGGACCAACGACGGTGAGCGGACGACTCTAGAATGCCATTGATAAGGGCACCGACAACGAAGAAGACGACATGTCATCGTAGGAGGCTATCCTCGCTGCTGTGCAAGCGGAGTACAGGGAGCCATTGGGGGCGAAGAACTCTACTAAGGATGCGTGGGAGGCCATTGTAGCGATGCACGTCGGCTCCGACCGCGCAAAGAAGGCGACGGCTCAGCTGCTGAAGAAGGAGTACGCCACCCTCAAGTTCAAGGATGGTGAGTAAGTGGAGAACTTCTCCCTCCACCTGCAGTCGTTCATCAGCAAGCTGAGGAGCCATAGCATCATCGTCGACGAAGAAGAGGCGGTCTCCATGTACCTCCACTCTAGGCCAGTGAAGTACATCCAGATCGCTCTCTCCAAAGAGACGATGCTAGACTTGTCCACCCTCACCATTGAGGATGTGACAGGCCGTCTGCGGGTGATGGATGAGCGTATGGAGCAGGCCACAGCAACGACGGACAGCGGCAAGCTGCTGCTGACAGAGGAGGAGTGGGCTGCCCTGGATGAAGAAGTCCGGGGAAGCCTCCTCCAGCCGCGGTGGTGATAGCAAGCACCAGAGCAAGGCTTCTTCGAAGAGGAAGAAGAAGGTCAACCCCAATGTCTGCCGACGCTAAGGGAAGATGGGCCATTGGGCAAAGGAGTGGCCAAATCGTAAGCAGAAGAAGAAGGCTGAGGCTCATTTAGTGTAGGTTGATGAGGATGATGAGGCCAGTCTCCTGATGGTGACAACGCACGTAGGCGAGCTGTGTGACAGCTATCTGGCCGGGAAGTAGAGGAGGCTGCCGTTCCCAAAGGCCGCCAAGTATCACACGGCGAACACTCTCGAGCTCGTCCAAGGCGATCTCTACGGGCCAATCACGCCAGCCACAAACGGTGGTCGGCGGTACTTCCTCCTGCTCGTGGATGATTGCAGTCGCTATATGTGGCTGCAACTCCTGACGAGCAAGGACGAGGCGGCGGAGGCGATCAAGAAGTTCAAGGCGCACGCGGAGGCGGAGAGCGGCAAGAAGTTGCGTGTGCTGCAGACTGATCGTGGTGGCTAATTCACTTCAGTAGAGTTCATTGTGTACTGCGCGGATCAGGGTGTGGTGCGACACCACACCGCGCCGTACTCGCCACAGCAGAATGGCATGGTGGAGCGGCGGAACCAGATGGTGGTCGGCATGGCTCGTTCCATGATGAAGGCCGAGAGCATGCCGTCATGGTTCTAGGGTGAGGCGGTGACCACGGCGGTGTTCATCCTCAACCACGCGCCCACCAAGGCCCTAAAGGGCAAGACGTCGTTCGAAGCTTGGTATGGGCACAAGCCGAGCGTGTCCTTCCTCCGGACATTCAACTGCATCGGCCACGTCAGGAAGATGAACCGGTCCTCACCAAGATGAAGGACAGGAGCACACCGATGGTGCTCCTAGGCTACGAGAAAGGTACCAAGGCATACCGGCTCTATGACCCACGCGGAGGCAAGGTGATTGTCTCACACGATGTCATGTTCGAAGAGAAGGCGGCCTAGGACTAGGATAGTACGAGCACGAGGGAAGTTGTTGGCTTCACCAGCACATTCGTTGTCGAGCACTTGGTCATCCATGGTGGAGGAGACGCTGGAGAGGAGGTGTTGACCACTCCAGAAATAGAACCGAGCACTCCTGGGGCGGTGCCGAGCACTCCGAGAGGTCTGCCGAGAACTCTGGGTAGGGTGCCGAGCACTCCAGGAGTGCTACCGAGCAGTCCTGCAGTGGTGCCGACCACTCTAGGACGGGTGCCGAACGCTCCCATAGTGGAGCCGAGAGGTATTGCAGTGGGGCCGACCACCCCAAGACTGGTGCTGAGCACTCTTGCAGTGGTGCCAACCACTCTAGGAGTGGTGACAAGCGGTCCAGGAGTAGTGCCAAGCACTACAGCCGAGGTGCCGAGCACTCCAGGTGCTGTGCTGACCACTTCCGGTGGAATAGGGGACTCCATCGACGCCGATCGAGTTCACCTCACCTCCAAGCGACATCACAGAGTTCGTGGATGCTTTCCATGATGGTGAGGAGGTGCGGTTTCGTAGGCTGCATCCGTAGGCTAGATGACATCGTCGGTGGCACAGGGTCCTTAGACCTGGTGGATCGGCTGCTCAATGACCTAGAGCTACTTCTCATCAGTGCAGAGGAACCACCCATGTTCGCGCTGGGCGAGCGCGATGCAAATTGGCAATGGGTGATGCTGGAGGAGATGAAGGCGATCGAGGAAAATGAGACTTGGGAGCTCATCGATCCACCTCCAGGATGCCGTCCGATCAGCCTAAAGTGGGTGTACAAGGTCAAGCGGGACGAGCGCGGCGCCATTGTCAAGCACGAGATGCCCCTCATCGCGTGAGGCTTTATCCAGCATGAGGGCATCGACTTTGAGGAAGTCTTTGCACCGGTAGCGCGCATGGAGTCTACCCGATTGCTGCTGGCATTGGCAGCAGCGAAGGACTGGCGCGTCCATCACCTAGACGTAAAATCAGCCTTCCTCAACAGCGAGCTGGTAGAGATGGTCTTCATTAGGCAACCTCTAGGTTTCACTGTCATGGGACTGGAGCACAGGGTGCTCTGACTACGCAAGGCACTCTATGGGCAGCGGCAAGCCCTACGACCATGGAACGCCAAGTTTGACACCATGTTGGGCGAGCTTGGGTTCACACGGTGACAGGGGAAGGAGGAGTTCGTCGTCGGCGTGTATGTGGACGACTTGATCGTCACCGGCGCGCGTGCGGAGGACATCGATAGCTTCAAGAGCGAGATGGTAGCTCATTTTCAGATGAGCGATCTTGGCGCACTCTCCAACTACCTCGGCATCGAGGTGAGACAGGGGAAGGAGGAGCTCATGCTCAGTTAGAGCGCCTACGCCTCAAAGCTGTTGGAGCAGAGTGGCATGGCTGAGTGCAAGCCGTGCGTGACACCGATGGAGGAGCGGCTAAAGCTGACGAAGGCCAGTACCGTGGCGAAGGTAGATGCAACACTCTACCAGAGCATCGTCGATGATGTGCGCTACCTAGTCCACACGAGGCTGTACATTGCGTTTGCCGTGGGCTACATCAGCCGCTTCATGGTGGATCCCCAAGAGGATCACTAGGCTGCGGTGAAGCGGCTGCTGCGCTACGTCAAAGGGATGGTGGATCAGGGGATCGTCTTCCCCAAGACCGGTGGAAGTGGACTGCAGCTCACTGTGTTCAGCGATGCAGACATGATGGGGGACATCGACGGACGGCGGAGCACCTCTGGCGTGCTCGTTTTCCTCGGCTCGGCTCCAACCTCATGGCTGTCGCTGAAACAGAAGGTGGTGGCACTGTCCACGTGCGAGGCAGAGTATGTGGCGGCGACCACAGTAGCGTGCCAAGCTGTGTGGCTGCTCTGGCTACTGGGCAAGCTAACCGGTGTGGAAGCTCACCCACCAACACTGATGGTGGACAACCAGCCTGCCATCGCCCTCGCGAAGAATCCAGTTCTTCACGACCGGAGCAAGCACATCGACATCAAGTTCCACTTCCTCAGGGACTGTATCGATGGAGGGCAGATCATCATCAAGTTCATCAAAACTGGTCGGCAGCTCGTGGACATCCTCACCAAGCCGCTCGGCTATCTTTGGTTCATGGAGCTAAAGAAGATGATCAGCATGGTGGAGGTTCTAGGGTTAGCAGCAGGATTAGGGGAAGAATTGTAAAGTAATGTGTTGCTCCCCTGTATGTGCGGCAGGGGCAGGCGCTGAAAGGGCTCCCCTGCTGTTGTACTATAGCCGTGGTAGGGGTAGGCACCGAAAGGCTCCCTTGCCGCACTATAGCCACAGCAGGGGCAGGGGCCAAAGTTAGCCCTTCTATCACATCTAGTCACTGTAGCAGCAAGGCAGCCTGCCATGTCTATATACTAGGATTAGATGGGTAGAGTTGTATTTATAGCTTCCCACTGCAACTCAGTAAAGAGAGCGAGTTTAGTTTTGCCATCTCCTCTGCAGAGCTCCGGTCAACGCTGATGCTTGTGTTGTGTGTGTGCGCACTCTGTTCTCCCTCCTTTCTTCTACCTCTAGCCATAGTGTGTGGTCGGCAACGACAGTGAGCGGTCGGCTCACCCATGCCAGAGATCTCGGGACCAACAACCGTGTTCTCCATCGGCCTCAGCCCGCTGGCGCCGACCTACAGTGCGGAGATCCTACCGCTGCAGCTGCGCGCGTAGGGCATGAGCCTCGGCATCGCAGCGAACCACGTCACGTGCAGCATCATCAGAATGACATTCATCTCGCTTGCCAACGGCATCACCATGGCCGGGTGCTTCTTCCTGTACGCCAGCACGGCGGTGGCATCGGTGGTGTTCGTCTATGTGCGGCTGCCGGAGACCAAAGGCCAGAGCTTGGAGGACATAGGCGTTCTCTTTGCCAAGTGATTACAAGGGTTATTGTGCAATATCTTCTACTCCAACATCTCTACCATCGGAGTGTGCTGCAGTTGCAGTGCGGCTGGTCAGATTCATGTCTTGCCAAGTTCATAAATCATAATCCAACCAATAGATAGGCTTCAACATGCATGCTTTAGAATAATTGATAACTTTTACATAAGATAAGATACTAATGATTGTGATGTGATTGCGGCTGGCAAAAAGTGCTTCTAGTGAATGGAAATTTCAGAGAAGTGTTGTTCCAAACTTTTTTTAAATTTTATATTGGATTTGGAGTTCTTATATACAGGACAAGAAATAAAAAAAAGTTACACGGTGTTGACGCAAAACACACACTCAAAGAAGCCGAGAGATCTGTGGATCCGCTTGGCTTCAAATGGAGGATGAGTCGGTTTCGAGACCGTCGGCGTGCTAGTCAATTTGACCCTATAATTGACAAGTAAAAGAAAGAAGATGAGCAATTTAAGTAGGAACATATTGGTGTTGCTCCAGACAGTTCCAATATATGGCTAAAGAGCCATTGAATAAGGGCTATCGACTAAAGAGTCGACATCCAACATGTTCATGGTATAATCAAATTGAATGCTATCAGCTGTTGTCGGTGCGGGACCCACAGGATACCTCACAAGGAAGAGAGAAGATCTAGTCTAACTAGGATTCTTCCCATGTAATCTTAGTAGTAGTATTATTCTGTAATCCTACTAGGAACTCTCATTGTAAACCGACTAGGACTCTGGCCTCCTGACTATATAAAGGAGGGCAGGGTTCCTAGAGAAAGAAGAGAGTTAGAGAACACTTGACAATCAATCGAATGCAAAGGCTAACGCCGACTGTATGTAGGGCTATTACTCGATCACGATCGAGGGTCCAAACCAGGATAAAACCGACCGTCTCTTGTGCTAAACATCGAGTTTTGCATACGCTGAAGCTCGAACATACTGCCCTATGTACCCCCGTGGCAGGCTATCGGTGGTGAAACATCGACAGCTGGCGCGCCAGGTAGGGGCTTTTGGCGAATCTGCATCCGAGAGCTCGATGGACCTCGACAACATGATCTTCTCGATGTGATCAACCTTCATCTTCGGCCCATGGATCGGAGAGGCGGATGACAATGGCAAGCTCCAAAGCCGTCTCCTCGAAGATTCGGATCACCATGAAGACCTTTCTATTTCGGCGACTACGACAAATCAACTCGCTGGAATATTCGCGCAGCTCATGATGTCCGATCCAACTCAGATTTCGTGGCTTTGCGCATCCGATTCAAACTTAGGCTCCACATCCGAGATGGAGTCTTATCCGAGTTCTTTCGAGAAACCGAGTTCCTTTCCGGTGGGACTCCAGAACGTGGCCTCGACCTATCAAGAATACAACTTAGAGTACACTCAAAGTCTTTTCAAGAAGTCAGATCGTTTTCCGTTCGGACTCCACAACATGGCAAAATCTTATCAGGCACGGCTCGAAGGGTCCCTCGATCCGGTGCTCAGAATGCCACTGAAAGGAGCTCAGGAAGGTCTCGTACTAACTATAACATCTCAAGACTGCATCATCCACTGGCCAAGTTCTGTTCCTGAGGGCAGCGACACCCAACTAGTCGGCACGATGACAACAACAATTCTACCCTACCAAGAAGGAGACTCGATCTGCGACCTTGAAGCCTCCACTAAAGTTATCAACAACTCCGACAATGTGGAAACCGACGCCGATAGCAGAACAATTCACGCACGAGAAGTATTCATGGTTCATCGTCCTCGATCACCGTTGGTCCCCTCAGAAGCACCCGACATCAGGTCATCGGATGAATCTGAGTCCAACATATCACCCTTTATCCAGGGGCACGATGGTGAGACCGAGAATCAGAAGCAAGCCAGAGAAAGAAGAAACAAATTGAAACAAGGACACCAACGCCGTGCTAGGTAGTGCAAGGAAGCTTGGATCAGATATGAGTCAAATCTGGCCGAGTACAATAAAAGAAAATTAGAACAAGAAGTCGAAGAAAGACGCGCGGCGAATACACCCTACAATAAGATCCAAGAAGCACTAGAAGAACTCGGAGCGACATCGCATCCCAGCGAAAAACAGGAACAACTCTGGGAACTTCTCCGGTCAGCAGCCCTAAGGATGCACGACGGAAGGACCCACCCAAGGCTACCTGCCAGATCAACATCTCATAGGAAGGAAGATCAAAATCAAAGGAAGTCCGCTTTCGAGAGACTTGGACCAAGTGGAAGTCACAACAGAGAAAGTAGAAGGGACCACAGTCAAAACTACCAAGTCGAACAACCAAGAAGGATCAGAAGTGAAACACCCATTCAAACAGCCCCGCAGAACTACTCTCACCAAAACAACAGTTGGCTGGAAGGAGATGCTGAATCAGAATACAAAGAAGCCGAAACGCACGATAGATTCCCCTATTTTGCAAACAGACTTGCTTCAATACGACTACCTCACAAGTTCAAGCCATCCAACCACTCTAAATATGATGGCAAGACCGAACCAAGGCAGTGGCTTAGAATTTACTCGCAATCGATTGAACTAGCTGGAGGAGATGATGATATCAAGACCTTGTTCTTCCCCATGTCCCTAGAAACCATGCCCCTCCAATGGTTCGACAAATTGAATCTAGGGTCAATAAGAAATTGGGAGGACTTGCAAAGAGTTTTCTGTGAAAATTTCATGGGTATCATTGCACACCCCATCACCCACGTAGAATTAAAAGGACTCAAGTAGAAAGGGGCGAAAGTCTCAGAAATTACTATCGACGATTTGGCGAACTACATGCTCAAGTACATGACATCACCGAACGAGAAGTAATCGAGGCTTTCTAGCACGGAATCATGGCTAGGTGGCAATTTCAGGACTTCTGCAAAGAAAACCCGAGAAACAATGAAGAATTCAGACGCACAGTAGAAAAGATGATTACTACAGAAGAGAAGACACGAGAAAGGTTCCCGGATAGAAACAACCGAGACAACCCGGACAAGCAAAATCATCGAAACATCAGACATCAGGAAAGAAAACATGGACCAGACAACACCGTAGCGGTGGCTGACAAATCAAGGAAGTTTTCCAAACCCAGGAAGTATGACGACATTGAAAACATGCATTGCATCTTGCACCCTAAAGGAAATCACACCATCGGAAATTGCTACACCTTCAATGATCGATACATAAGAAAAGATAGTAAGGGAAACACTAAAGAAGTCAGTCAGAAAAAAGATGAAGACAACCCCAAAGACAAGGGATTCCAAAAATCCAGGGGGACAGTAGTAGTAATCTTTGTCGAGGCCCCAAATTCCAGAAGCAAACATCAAGAAAAGCTAGCTCTACGAACCATCATGGCAGCAGAACCGGCTACTCCAAGATATCTCAATTGGTCACAGTATCCAATCCAGTTTTCAAGAGAAGACCAATGGACTAGTATAGGAAATGCAGGCCATTACCCATTGGTTCTAGATCCAACTATCGCCGGTATGACTGTCACAAAAGTACTAATCGATGGAGGAGCCGAACTCAACATCATTTTTTCAGAAACGCTAAGGAAGATGGGACTACAACTCACCGGGATGATTACACCAACGAGCACCCCTTTTTATGGGATAGTACCCGGCAAGGCAGCCATGCCACTTGGACAAATCACTCTACTGGTTACTTTTGGAACTCCATCAAACTACCGTACAGAGTTCATCAAGTTTGAAGTTGCAGACTTCGATTCATCATATCATGCAATCCTCGGGCGCCCAGCACTAGCAAAGTTCATGGCGATACCGCATTATCCGTACCTATTGCTTAAGATGCCAGAGCCTAACGGTGTCCTTTCCCTTTGAAGTGATTTGAAGCACGCTTTTGACTGCGATGTTCAGGCAATCAAAATTGTAGCCAAAGCACAAGCCACCAATGGTAGAAAAGAAATAGCCACTATCGCCGCAGAAATAAGCCCCAGAAGAGCTAGAGATACTGGCTAAAAAGCCCAGCATCCTGGCACCACCAAAAGAAGCCAACATCAAGCAAATCGACCTAGGCACCGAAGATCCCTCCAAAACGGCAACCATCAGCGCCCACCTCTCGGCAAAATAGGAACTCGCGCTCACCAACTTTCTTCGGGACAACAAAGACATCTTCGCTTGGAAGCCGGTCGACATGCCAGGTGTCCCAAGAGAGTTGGCTGAGCACAGAATTGATATCAATGAAGGCTCCAGGCCTGTGAAGCAACGGCTACGATGATTCTCACCCAACAAGAAGGTAGCAATTAAAAAAGAAATCACAAAGTTAATGGCAGCTAGATTCATTAGAGAAATCCTTCATCTAGATTGGCTAGCAAACCCAGTTCTAGTACAAAAAAAGAATACGGACGAGTGGTGCATGTGTGTCGACTACACAGATCTCAACAAACACTGCCCGAAAGATCCATTCGGGCTACCACGCATTGATCAGATAGTTGATTCAACAGCAGGATCCACCCTATTATCCTTTCTTGATTGCTATTCAGGATATCACCAGATCGCATTAAAGGAACAAGACCAGAGCAAGACATCTTTCATCACTCCGTTCGGTGCCTACTGCTATAAGACCATGTCGTTTGGACTCAAGAATGCTGGTGCCACTTACCAAAGAGCTATCCAAACGTGCCTTGGTGATCAGATCGGCGAAAATGTAGAGGCATACGTGGATGACATCGTAGTAAAAACAAAGAACCCGGACACACTAATTGAAGACTTAAAGCAAACCTTCGAAAACCTAAAAAGGTGGAGGTGGAAATTGAACCCAAACAAGTGTGTATTCGGAGTTCCTTCAGGACAACTACTCGGATTCTTGGTCAGTCGTCGTAGAATCGAAGCTAGCACCAAGCAAATTCGAGCCATAATAGAGATGGGCCCTCCTCGAAGTGTCAAAGATGTGTAGAAACTAACAGGCTGCATGGCGGCCCTCAATCGTTTCATATCAAGACTCGGCGAAAAAGGGTTACCTTTCTTTAAACTACTAAAGAAGAC